ACCATTTTAAGGAAGAGAGATACAAGATTGTCAAAGATCTAGACATCTCGAGTCAAGAAAGCAGTATCAACAGTTAAAAAAAAATAGAGCAAGTTGAGGTCCAAACAAGAACCAACCTGGAAAGCAATGTCTGGACATAATCTGCCGGGTTCTGTTTGTTCTTCAATTAATAATTCGCATGTTCATCTGAGCTCGAAAGCTGATAGCTCTGTATAAACAAAATGACTCTTGTGAATTTGCTACACTTATAGTCAATAAACATTTCCACAACCCCCCTCCCCCAACCAAACCGCCAAAAAAAAAAAACCTTTCCAACTTTCCCAATTTTGAGAGGTCTTTAGCCTGTGTCAGCCGGAATAATCAGGATTCTGGGCATATCATCAATAACTTCCACTGCTTTCTCCTTGTCTAACTCTGAGTCTTCTGTATTTTTTTGGTGAAAGTGGTGTATCATTTTCATCTAATTGTTCAGATTCTTCTCCTCTGTCATACTTCTCTTTCTTCTCTCTCTTTTGTGCTTTCACTTTTTACGGCCGCACCATTTTCTATTCTCTATTTTTTGTTTTTTTTTGAAATGGTAAGAACGGTTTTTCTGAACGCTGCAGATGATATAGCAGGAACAAAAATATTAATTATAATATGAACATGGTAACAATGACACGGTATCAAAAATTAAGCTCCCAACAAAGGTACAAGGGATTAAATATAAATAATGGGCTCACAAAAAAAAAGCATACTGGAATAATTACAGGAGTGGCTGATATAGGTATACTAACATGCAGATATACCCAAATATGTATGTGTGTATTTCGACGTATGCATGTATATAAGCATGTACAGAAATATGAGCATGTTTTTATCTGCGAAGAGAAGATATTGAGCTAAAGGCTTACTCTGCAGAATGGTGAAACCCTAGAGTTTGCTGGACTGATTATGCATAGGTGGAAATTAAAATTAAAAAGAGAAACTCATTTAAGGTTTTCAGGGGATCCATTTTATATTCAGGTTAAATATGAGATCTGGGAAACGGCACTTAAGTTGTCTGGAATCTGGCCCAGAGAAAGATGGAAATTATTCTTTTCATTTTTGGATAAATTACAATTTGGAATTTGCCCCCTCTAATTATCGTAAACTAGTGTGGCCTCCCTAAAACCTCTTTAAATTATTGTTTGAACATAATTAGTCTCAGTTTAGGGGTGGGCACGTCCAGATTAAGAGAACCGAACTGAACCAATGGTTTCATACGCAGAACAGGAACCAGACTGGTTGGTTTCGTTTCAGTTCCATTAATGCTTAAACCTTTAACCATTAAATCTGATTTGTGTTAAATCAGATCTTACTGAAAAATGAAATGTATTCAAGAAAAAAGGGTCTTCAATCCCTGGAAATTAATAGTGTTGAATTAATTTCCAACAGTAGTAAGCTGTGCAGAGCTTAAAAACTACGAGGAAGAAAATGAATCGTTTCCACGGTCCAAAAACTAACAGAAACAAATACAAAAAAACCCAATACAAAGGTGCTCCTCCCTATGAAAAAGTTTCTGCCCCGAATAAGCAAAAAAGACAACTTTTGAACTGAAAGCATCATGTTCCTAAATTAAAAGTGCAAACACTTAGTTAGCAACTTACTTAGTTAGCAACTTAATAATATGTAAAATGACCCCAGCAAGTCACCTGTTTAACCCACACGTGAAAGTTGGAACCTCTTACATCAAAATGGAGTAATGAACCGTGTAATTTTTCTTCTCTCTCAAAGAAGAAACAAATTCAGAGAATGCCGAAACATTTTAAAATAAAGAATGAAGAAAAACTAAACAAAAATGTCAAGAACAATGATGAATTGTGAAAGCCTAATATCAAGCTCAATTGCGTACTAAAACTTGAAAGCACAAACGACACTACAACAGTGCTGCTTCACTACCCTAAATTGAAAAAGGAATTAAACAAAACAATAAACTTCATCATTCATCCAGCAGACTTCAATAGAAACCTGTATCTCAATTCCTCGTTCAACAAATGCAAATATATTAATGACTTAACTACTTAAGTTCAAAATCAAGAAAATCCATATACACTAAAAATTCATCATCCAGCAAGATTAACTAAAACTTTAACCTACATTAACTTCAAGTACCATGAGATTAATGATACCAACTGGGAAATATAAATTAAAAAAGTCACTAACTTGGATATACAAATATCATCCAACAAGCATTAAATGGAAATTAATTAACTATTGACAACAATTAGTAAGCCTTAACCCACCACCCCCACCCCAAAAAAAAAATAAAAATAATCCAGCTGTCAAGCCCGAAAATGAAAGGAACGCAGTGTCAAAACTCGATGGATGTAAAAAACCCGGGAATAAAACGCAACTATTTTGGACGAGAAAAATTGGTCCAATAAAATTGATAAAGCTCTCAATATTTACCTGGTTGAATAAAATATAATGCGGGAAAACTGATTGTTGGACGGATTTGGATTGAAATATCAGATATCAATGTTTAGCTCAAGTCTCCTATATTTTGTATGAAATTGGGTTGGCTCTCGCTTTGGAGAAGTATGAGAGGGGGAATTTAGAACCTTGAAGCTCGAGAGCATGGATTTGTGAAATTCTGATTTTGTATTAGGGTTTCTGCACATTTTACCCAACCACGTTCCGTTGGCAAAGAAAAGAAAATTTTATTTTTTTATTTTTTAATCATAAATTCTTTTAAAAAAAATGTTTTAACGAAATTTATTCTTAAAAAATCTGTGAACTTTAAATTGGCCGAATCTAATTCATATTTAATAAATAAAAAATTAAATTAATATTTACAAGCATCCAACATAGTAACTGGGGAAGCCTTGAGTTGCTAAATTATAATTCTTTTGAGAAAATAAATAGGATGGAAGAACAAAAACTGTCTTCTATTTTGTCCAAACTGAGTTTAGCCTGTCAACTCTAAGTAAAGCCACTTTATCCGAAAATGTTTGACATCTCAGGTGATGACTCTTAGATTGCGCATGTGTTCCGTGTGAATAAAATAATGTCCGACCCTCGAGGTGTGTATGTTCTGTCATCCAAGGTGTCAACGGAGGTGTTCGTGTAGCGCGTTTCATCAATTCTAGGCAATACTGATTCGGATTTCAATTTGAAGTACTAAAACTATTTTTAATTTAGTCAAAACTACATTTATTGAGAATTTTTTTTTTTTTTTGGGAGGAAACTACATTTATTTTCATTTAAAAATTAATTTTTAATTGAGCGTACTATTCTGAAAGTACTTTTAAAGGAAGTTATACTTAATCAATTTCCTCTAAAAATCCTTCTAATTTGAAGAAACATTTTTATAAAATTAGTCAAACGAATTCAAAAATAACTTTTGAATCTCAAAAACTCATTTAAACTTTTTCAAAGCCATACCAAACAAACCTCCAAATTAGTCAATTCTAGACCATTCTGATTGTATTTAATCATGTTTAATTGCTCACCAATGCCTTTTTGACCATCACCCCAGCGGCCCAGCCCCAGGGGAGGACCCATGTAGGGTCATGTGGGGTCAAATGACCCCACAAATAATTTTAGTTTTTTTTTTTTGTAGCCAGAATTGTGAGAGAAAGAGTCGTGAGAATATTATATTATTTAATCAATTAAGTGGCGTATGTAAAAATTATATAAATTCAAATTTTGTTCAACAATTTAGTCTTATAAACTATGTCATTTGTCCTAATATTGTTTTATATTTTTACAATCATTAAATTTATGGTCGAACTTTATTTGAGATTGAATATTTCATTTTGCTTATTGATTTATCGAGTTTTAAGCTAATAGATTAGCTAGTTAAGAAAAATATGAATACATATTGCATACTTTAATTTAATGATCCAAATTTAATGGACGTTTCAAGCCCAAAATACTCTGACCTCGATTAAATTTCATCTACACTGAACAATATTCATGGCTCCACCCCTAAATTTTTGCATACGTTGTTGTTGCAATTTGTTATTTTTCTTGTAGTATTCATTGGATATCACACATTTGAGATTATCGTTAATGACAATATTCTTTTTTCACTCGAAAAATCTAACCGACTTGTTGCAATGACCAACATGTTCGTTGTTGTTCATGTATTGAAAATTATCATTTAAATCTTTTTTTGTTCGAAAATTTCCTGCTCCAATTTATTCAACGAGTTATATTTTATCGTATTTATTCATCTTTAGTTTTTGAAAAACTCATATATATGTCATGACAGTGTTTGACATAATAGAAACTTGGGGTGTAAGACAAGGCACGATCGAGCGCCAATGACTAAAGTATACTGTCCTTGGAACGCCCGAGTTTCACTCGAGCCTCCCTAATTTTTGACCCCACAGTAAAAATAGTCTGAATTCGCCCCTACCCCAGAGAATTAAAGTTTTGGACATTGGAAGGTTAATAATATAGAACAATTAACATGTTTACTAATATTAGCATTAACCTATATCCGACTCATGTTTATAAACACAAGCCACTTTTTATCCCCATAGTTCGAAATATTTATATTACTCACTTATCAATAACTTATTTTTATCAATTTATAATTGCCAAATATGAACGAGGCTATGGAATTATCAAAGCTGGACTTTCTTTTCACACTATTATGAATACAGAAATAATTGCAAAAATAGGAATTTCGAATGCTTGAAAAGACCGTAATTTTCATTTTAAATTTATTTCGTGATAATAATTAAAACGTGAGAAAAAAAAACTCTCAATAAAGCCTGGTTGAGATAGCACCCCGATCCCAAGCACAAACTCAAGCCGTGGCCGGAGCCCACTAGAGCCCGAGCTTGAGCCCATTCTATCACAAGACAATCAGTCTAAAGAAGAGTTTCGGATTACTCATTTGATTTACCAGTTACGAGAGCAATGAAAAAACTACACTCTTTCAAAGGCAGCAAATATCTGAAAGAACGGGAAAAAGACTTTTCACTTCGCCGTAACAGATGTCTCTTAATGCTAAATAGCAGAGAAGATTAGGAAGCCCTCTTGGGAGGAGCCATATTGTGCATAAGAGAGGAGGTCACACCAATTGTAACTATCTGCACAATTACTTCTGCAAAATAGATGGTGCTAATTCAAAATAATCATGTCGAACATAAGGATTATAGCCAAGTAAAACGAACATACCTAGTAGAACAGCAGCAACCTTGAACATCTTAGCCATCGTCTCCCACTTACTGAAATCTTCGATGAGCTGTACCACATAAGCAACGTAATGTAATCATGATATCAATATTACATGACTACTGCGTTAGCATGTTCCTGAAATAAACCTCTCTAAGCTTCAATATTCCTATTCTTTTTCAATTCTGCAAAGAACTATTTTCAGTTTGGAAGATTTAGAACAGAATATTCACTTACGAACTTGTAGAATGATGTTTCTCATTTGTATAATTATTTCCCTTTTTCTAACTCGCATTATGATCGAGAAATGCATGTTCTAGAACTACAGCATATTACCACATCAATATCAAAAAACATATGATTGAGGAAAACCCTGGACTAATGTTACCTCAAATAATTTTTCACTCTTGACGAGAAAAGCTACTGAGGTTACAGCAGCAATTGATGAACCAAACAAATACAGCTTCAGAAAGAAACTGCGGCTGTGCTTTCGACCTTCAAAATGACAGTACAAAGAAAAATACGTTTAAACACCCACTACTTGCCCAAAAATAAAATAAAATAATATATGAAAATAAGGATGTTAATGTGTACCGAATTCTCCTATAAAGAGAGAAATAAAGCAAATAACGATAGAAGCAGCATAAAATCTATCAACGATTTCCCCCTTTGGAGTAGGTAAAAGTAAAGTTGCTGCTTCCAAAATTCGAACTAAAGCCTGCAACATAGGTCAAAGCGAAAAACATTAAAAAATAGTAGCTAGGAAGTTATTTATCCCATGTTTGAGCCCCATCCTTTAAAATTTATTTTTCTTGAAACTCATTTTCAATCACACGTTTTCTCAATAAAATTATTTGCACACAAACCTAAAATTTTCACCAAAAAAATCACTTTTTACAAAATCTACTTTCAAAAAATGGGGCACAAGCAGGGGTTTAGTATTTTATTCTATAGTTTAGCGAGCCCTAATAAGGGTCAGTCAACACTGCTCAACATGGAAGAAAGAAGAAGAAGTGTTTGCCACATTTTACAAATTATTAAGACACTATCTTGATAATAAAATGGAGCATGGCTGCATACGTCCATACAATATTTTTACTCCTCACTTAGCAATTTCCCATCTAATTTTTTCTTCAATTCACTCTTCCTATGGTTTTAGATCATAATTAATTATAGACCAATATATATCAAAAGAGATAATTTTTGCTGAGAAAATTGCAATTAATCGAGTATGGAAGTAAGTACCTGAGTTAAAATCAAAGCCAAGAGGCGGGATTTACCTTCAGCAACCTTTTGATATCCTTTGAAAGAAAGAAAAATGCCAAATTTAATTGAAATTAAACACTTCAATCAATAAAATCCTAATTCAAAGGGAAAAATGCAAGAAAAGTGAAGGTAAGCATACTGGAGTTGACAACCATGCGGTAGGAGAAATCAGAGCCGTCTGTTCCCAATGGCCTTCCAGTTACGGATTTTCTCTGACTCATTTTGTCTCTATTCTTTCAAAATTTTATTTGAAAATTTACCGTCTGTTGCTGTCTCAGTTTTGAACAAATAATTCACTAGAGGAATTGCAATGGCAAACCTTTTACGATGAAAATACGTGAACGAAAACCAACTATGTTATTTTACATATTCATAATGCAATGAATAGAAGATTAAATATTATTTCCAAGCATATATTTTTGTAGGACTGATCAAAATTTCTTGTGAAAATAGACAAAGGAAATAACAATTTTCAACTAATAATGATATGCAAATATTAATACATGTGGTGAATTTTTTTATTTTTCAAAATAAATTTTGAGGTGAAAAATTAGGGGCGGCTTCACTGTTTAAATTGAAAAAGCAATTAAACTTCATCATTCATCCAACAGATTTCTCTCTGTATCTCAGTTCTTGGTCCAGACAATTTGAATGCACTAATGACTAAACTTCATAATCGAGAAAATCAAAGTACACTCCAGCAAATTCAATTTACAGTAAGAAACTCAAAACTGGAAATTAGTTAACTATTCACTTAAAAACTAATAAGCCTTAATCAAATTAACTAACAAAAATAATCAAGAGTCTCGCCTGAAACTGAAAGGAAGGAGGTGTCAAAACTGTAAAAAAAAAGGGAAAAACGTAATTTTTTTCAGAAGGAAAAAAATATACCTGATTGAATAAAATATAATGTGGAAAAACACAGATTCTTGGACGGACTTGTTTAGTTCAACTTTCAAAGGTGTATTAGGCATAAAATTGGGGTTGGCCCTGGACAAGGGTATGAATTGGGGGAAGTATGAGAAGGGGAAATTCCGATTTAAATTTTGATGGTTGAAAATAGAGGGTAAATTTCACCAAGGTCCCAAGTCCTAATCTACCATTTGTTGCGGTCAAGTCCTTGATCTTTTAAATTGTGAACCCACGTCCTCAATTAACAGAATATGTTTACTTTAGAAGACAAGACACTCATGTGATGTCAATGAATTCAACTTTCAATTAAACATTTAGCTCATGTTTGGGCCACAATATTTTTTTCAATTTCATTCTTCTATTCATTTTCAACCATACATTCTTTAATAAAATAATATTTTCCATTACATCAATAACTTTTCATTTTTTTTCAACCACACGTTCTTTATATTAGCTGGGGACATGAATGCCATAATTTTAAACGCAAAATTAATATTTCTGATAATAAAACATACAACTTTTCCAATTCCTCGATCAATGATGAAAGGTATCCTGTATTCATTTTGGGTTCAAATAAACTTAATGCGTTTTGGAGAAGGAGCTGGACACGAGCCATACATTTGTCCTGCCAACCCCGTACAGAAACAATCAGGATTTGATCACTCCTAGAGTTGCAGCTTCAAGTGAAACAGCATGCCTAACATCCCCAATATGAAGAGCGTGTTCACCCATAGGAATCCTTCGGATTCCAGACCTATCGACAACACTAAGGTACTTGCACACATGAATCTTGACAGAAACTCGTTGTTGTCCCCTCGCTGGAACGTACACTTTCTCAAATGCAACCAATTGTTTGTGTGGTGCCCAGTGTCCTCCAGGAGGCGATGAATATACAAGCAATGTGTGTGCGCCATCTCGGGACCCCGCATTTCTCACGTCAACGTTAAAACTAAAGGAGAGCCTATTACATTTTGCATGTGTCACTCGAACGGCCTGGCTAGTGATGGTGGTGTTGGTATGGTGGCGCCCGTGAACAGTGACTGAAACAACTGTTGGAGCATCTGCAATTGTGTGAACGAAGTTTGTGTAGCTCAGTCCGTGCCCAAATGGATACACCACATCTCCTTTGTAGAACCGATAAGTCCTCCCCGGATAGCCTCTTGAAGGATCTGATCGCATATCCATTGCTGTCATTGGCAAGTTGTTTAGGTATTCCTGTGGGTACCATGTAATTGGTAGCTTCCCACCCGGATTATGTGTTCCGAATAGGATATCAGCTATTGCAGCTCCTCCTGCTTGGCCGGGATAGCCAGCCCAAACAATCGCACCAATTTTTGGATCATTTTTGGCAAACGATACATCAATAGGACCTCCACTCATTAATACCAAGATTGTCGGACCTCTTGACGCCATGGCAACCTTAGTAATAAGCTCTTGTTGACGCCCCGGTAGGAGAAGGCCAGCTCTATCTCTGAATTCAGCTTCAATTGACTGGTCTAGTCCCATAACTAGAACAGTTGCATCTGCTTGACGTGCTGCATCAACCGCTCTTCCAAAGAGTGCCTCATCAACACAGGCCACATTGGCACAACCGAGCTGATGAATAGTCCTAGTATAGCTTCCTATTCCTTGTAATGGAGTTGTATATCCACAAGCAACACCTACAAAACCAAGGACTACGTGAGTACAATTCTTCTGTTATATTTTTCGAAATATATTTTACAAAGGTTAATAACGTCATAGAAACGCAAAATGGATGTAGCACTTACCAGCGTAATTGCCAATCATTGTGACAGTGACATCCGAGTTAGGCCCGATAACTGCAACAGTGTGATGCCGCCGAGGAGACAGAGGTAGTGAAGGGCCATGATTTTTGAGAAGAACAATGCCCTGTCTAGCAGCTTCAAGTGAAAGCTCCTGGTGAGCCGGGGTGCATACATCTTTTGCACCCAAGTTACCATATGGCTGCGCCGATGACTCTCCATCAAACATCCCTAGCCTCATTTGAACAGCAACTGTATTAGCTAAGGCAACATTTATATCATCTTCCTTTAGTAACCCCTTTTGTACTGCGTTCTCTGTGTGTATTGCAAGGAATGGCCCACAATCCAAATCCAAACCTGTATAATATAAAATCCAAAGCTATAACAGAACTTATTTTTCTAGAAAAATAACTTAAAAGTATGGCTAAAAGTGTACCTGCTTTGATTGCATCTGTTGCTGCTTGTTCTGGCGTTGATGTATAATGTTGATTATCGTAGAACACACCGACCGAATCACAGTCTGAGACGATGTAACCATTGAGGCGCCAAGCACCTCGTACAGTTTCTCGAAGAAGTTTCGGATCCGCGCAGGTGGGAACGCCATTGACTTGATTGTAAGAGCACATTACACTTGCAACCTTACCTTCCATAACACAACTTCTGAATGGAATGTCACATGTATCAACTATATACTGCTTGCTAACCTGCACAATTTGGTGTCAGTATTTAATAACCTATGTCGTCTGAATGGAATGTCAAATGTATCTACCATATCCTGCTTGCTAACCTGCACAATTTTGTGTCAGTATTTATTAAACTATGTCGTCTAACAACTCAAATTATTCCAGACATAACAGTTAGCAGATAAAAATGAAATATCCTTTATTTGAGCCTCGTTGTCAGAAGACTCATTTTTTTTTTAAATTTCATTTCTAATCACACGTTCTCACATTTTACACGTAAATATAAACTTTTCATACTTTTCAAGTACACATCCTCACTTTTCTAAAAAAATTGGTATTCAAACACGACTTAATAGTGATTATGAATGCATGATTTTTATTGAGAGCATGTTTGAATCCCTTTTTTTTTTTTTTTTTTATGTAGAATACATTTTAAAATAGTAGAGATAGAGAATGTGTGGTTAAAAATGAAGAAAAGATTTTTGAATAGTATGTAATATTATTTTGTTGAAAAATGTACGATAGAAACGAAGAAATAAAAAAAATGTATTAAAAAAAAAAATGGGTATCAAACATCAATTGGACAGTTGCGCGGGTCAGAAGCACACATCAGCCATTGACGTTCCATACCTTTGCATTAAAGTGGAATCTATCGACCCCACTCCAGTTATCAAGGTCGTACGCCGTATAATGCTTGCAACACGCCGCCACCTTCAGCCGGTCGCCGCTGTCTGTCCCCTGTAGTCCTCTGACGTAACTCGCTGCATATTTACCCGCCAGTACAGGGTCTTCTCCGGGAGTCTCTTGTCCCCTCCCCCATCTTGGGTCACGAAATATGTTGACATTTGGGCTCCAAAATGTCAGGCCCGCCACACCTCCATTGTACATTGCTCTTGCCTCATCCGAGACAACCTGCACGCACGGCCCGTATAGCTAGTATGAGATCATGCTTTAGGCCCAACATTGGTGGGCCCATGGACCCACGATGCTATATTCATTTGCTAACATTTGATTGGGCACAACTTGCGAAGAAAAGATGCTTTGTACCTTATATTTTGTTTCAGGAAATATTTGAAATGGACTGCATTAAATTCATAGAATCGGCCAAATTAGCCGCAATGTACATGTACGTTGCTATCTTTCTTGCTTTAAAGCGATGGTGTAATTTTTACTCGGCCATGCTTGGGGTGCATTAAAATTTTTATTCTCATTCTTCTACTTATTTTCAACCACACATTTTTCAATAAAATAATATTTTTAATCACATCAATAACTTTTTCTTTTTTTTCAACCACACATTTTCCATCAATCTACTATTCCAAAATAATGTGGCTCAAACACACTTCTTAATTTCGATTTAAATGAATGCTTTATCTTTAAAGTTATTGTTCCTCATTTGCTTTCTNAAATGAAATAATAATCTAGGTTATTTAAAAAGCACAAAATTACCTCAGCAAAACAACCTAGGCTGGCATTCTCCATCAATCTACTATTCCAAAATACATTCTTCCAAAATAATGTGGCTCAAACACACCCCCAATCAAATTGTAAAAACGTCAATTGTGTGGTTACAGGTAAAACACGCTAACTTTTCTTAACATTATCAATAAAAACGTCAGCTTTGTTAATGGGTAGGTCGGTCTGTCCAAAAAGGTTTGATAAGTTCCATGTCTCTATAATTATAATTTATGGGTATTACAATATTTATTCATGCATTCGCATAAACCAAGATCAAATTTCTGGGATTTTCTATGTTGGTCATGAAATGAAATAATAATCTAGGTTATTTAAAAAGCACAAAATTACCTCAGCAAAACAACCTAGGCGGCTAGGCTGGCATTTAGCATGCATTATTATTCTTAAAAAGACTTCTTACCCGTCCAATTTCCTCCCACAATGAAGCATTGAACGAAGCTGCGGTGGTGATAACCTGAGGGAAGCTGGTGGCGCCACGGAAGTCACCACCAAACTTGGTACCGGGTCCTACATCTGAGACGCCGTGAAGAGCCTCCGACCACCACTCGTAACCTTTAACACCCAGCCGAGGCACGGCGGAGGCACCACTCACTAACAGCTTCACCTTCTCTTGCAATGTCAAACGTCCAATGAAATCTCTTACTCTATCGGGTATGGGTATATTGGTTTTACAAAATGCCAAGTTTTTAGTTGTTGAATCTTTCGGGTCACATGCAAAGGGTGGCCGGGCTTCTGCAGTGTGATCCGAACTTAGAACAAGGAAAAAGAAGAGAAGTGAAAGAGAAATGGATAGAGTGGTGATCCGACCCATATCCATTGTTTAAAGAATATTTGGGTTTTTTTTCCCTTGTTGTATAAGCTAAGGAATAAGAGAAAATGGTGCCTATATATATATTAGTGTCGTCCATGATTTTGTTTCACTGTTTGAAGAAATGTCTTTTTGGGAATCGTAATGCAACTTGCAACTAGACGTAAAGAGATGATGGCAAGTAGATGACAAAAACAGAACCTGGCTATTCAATCCATTCACATGCATGACATTGACATTAAAGTCATGTTTATCAAACAATACAATCGTCGATGCACATATGAGAAATGCAAATTTCAACTTTGACATGAGTCAATCGAGATTTCAGGTTCTGAAAGCAAAAATGTCCAATCAAGAATGTTTATGCCTTGTTTGAGCCACCTTATTTTAGAACGAGAATGAAAAATATATTCGTTATTGGGCCCACACGAGAGATAGAAAATTTGAATTTAAATGTTTATGTGATGGATAACGATTATATTTTTCATTTTAATGAGATAAAAAGGTGGCCCAAACGGGAGTTTAATTACAAATGGAAAACAAAGTTGCATTTTAAAAAAATACATGTTACAGTCAGTGTAATAGTGAATTGAGTGGAGTTAGATTACTGAACAAGGCAATAAAATTAAATTATTTTTAAGAGTGAGGATAAAGTATTATTAAGAAAAAGTAGGATCCAACGGGAAAAGTATAAAGAGGAAATTAGAGGCAAGTAGTGACTTTTTATTGGTTGGCTATTCAATTATTTTTGCTTAGAAAAATGTATGAAGATAAGCTTCTCTTTTCCTTTAAGATATCCCTTGTCAGGCAGGCTATCGTGTCCTTTTTTATGTTATTATCAGATCCAAGCCCTCAATTCCTACTGTATCAATTACATTTAATGCATACTCATAAATATATACATATATGTAAATTCAACACAATTATTAGGAAATATGCAGTCAAGATATTTCATTTTTATTTTTAATCAATGATGGTTGTTAATGAAATTAACGAGAAAATAAAGAAAAAAAAAAGAAAAAGAAAAAGTGAAAAATGGGTGGGACAAAGATTATGCGAAGGACCAATATGTTAACTTGAATTGGAAGAGAAGAGTGATTCTGTCAGTGGTGGTCGGCCAACTCTTTGCATTACGTTAATAAATATAAGGATAATGTTAATCCTCAATTTAGTACATCCATTCCTCAATAGTTACAAGGAAACAAAAACCTGACATTTTCTGTCATCAAGAAAATAAGAGATAAGTGGTGTTGACAAAATCAAAGGTGACAAATGACATTATTATTTCTACGTAAGTCTAACTCGTCTAAAGACATGAGTTGCTTGCCTTTGTGCATTTTTCCAACTTGGTCTGTCGATGTTAATAAATCCCTGTGTCTAGTACTTATCTAATTTTTTTTGCGTATCAAACAAAAATTCCTCAATTAACATTTGCATATTCTTATAATTATGTAATGACATTAAGTTGGTAGGGCAAAACAAATGACTGCAAATCATTAATGGCTATAACAACCACCTTTTTCTGTTATAGCCATCCATAATATGATTACACAAGTTCTTAAAATGGAGGTTGTTAGGTGGTGATGATGGAGAAGACAGACTTAGTACCGGCAAATCGATGCTCACCAGCTGGCTATATCACCCTCACAACTAATTTCTCATTATTTCAATATAATCATGGAAATGTGGAAAATAAATATTTGATGAACATAATCATTGTTCATACATAAGAAATCTGTAATTAGCCAGTTTTTTTTATTTTTTTTCTTGTTTCGGGGTTTTTCCCCATCTTCGAGAAGAAGGGTTTCAGTTGTAACAAATATAAACCTTAGTTGACAGCACCCCAGTATGTATATATATATATATATATATAAGGAAACCCATTTGAAGCTATTGCCGTAACCCATTTTCCGAACGATGATACACAAAAATACCTCTAAAATGGCGCACGGCACATCAGACTCTGCAAGACTCACCTTCCCTTTGAAGGTGGTTACACCAGTCAGGCCTAGGTGGTAAGACAACTCATCGTCCGATGCAGCATATGGTATGTCATTCTTGTTTCCCAAAATGAGAAAGGGAACATTCGCAAGGGCGTCATTACAAAGAAGTGCATCTAGTTCCTTTTTAAAGGCTCCTTACAGTAGGCATCGACCAAGTAGGCCGGCATCGACCTGTAATACCATCAGAATCAGCTATTACAAAATTGTGAATTTAGCTTCTCAGGTGAATGGACACAATCAGAAGTCAACACCTTCAAGCACAATACCAGATTCATTGTGCATTTTGTGCTAACTTCAAACTGTAAAAGAGAAATATTTACCATGAATTAAACTAGCTACGTGATGAAAACTTTCTGAACCTAAATAAGTGTGACAAATGGGTTTTATGTCATGTCTGAATCATTATTATCATTATTGCTCTTGTGAAAGAGAATACTCCATAATTAGTGCAGGAGGCTTCTTTCATTATGGTCAACCGAAGGAAGAAAAAAGGGTAAAGAACTACAAATATAAATATGCAAGTTCAATCAATCTGGATCGAATTCTAATTCCTATCATATGGGTGTGCTCAAAGAAAAACACACGTCCCTCATCAATAACAAAACCCACACCATGATTAATCACTTCGTAATAATGGCTAGTAAACTTAGTATGCTTTTTCCAAATAGAATCTAGTTCAGAACTAGATTCTAACAAGCTCATCATGCTGAAACTTGCCACCAAAGTAAACCAGTCTTTGTTATGTAATCTAAATTATGTGCTAGATTTGGATCCCAAGTTTAAACTCTCCAGAATTAGTTCAAAACTCTGATATCAGGTATGCACATGCACATGTTTTTATCACAAAAAAAAAGAAAAGAAAAATGAAGGGTAAACAATACACTTGATTGTTGTACTTGAGTGCAGTTGAATTGGATCTTGCATAAACCGAATAGACTGGTAAAAGAAGTTAAATGTAGCCAGTCCCAAATCTATATGGAAAAAGGATTCATCTACTGGAAGATCCAGTGTAACCACTGCTTAAGTACATATAACATTTGTTTTAAATGTGGAGCTTGTCAAATTAGGGTGAAAAAGTTCTCGAGTTGTTGACTTGATAATGAGTTATACTTGGTGGTATTTCTTAACATACATTTTGCTTGTGTACAGAATCCAGAACAGAAATTAATAACAATATTGACTATTGATATTTAAAATACCTCTTTAGTTTACATTTGTAAATAAGTCCAAACAATAAAAGAAACTCCCGTAAGGCAATATGAGGGCCCCAAAACCTAAAAACCAGAGCTAAAAGGAGTATTTGGAGCTCTTCACAAGTTTTATTGTCATCGATTTCCTTCCCAAAATTTTGAGTTATTAAACTCAATTTAACAGATTCATGCTCATTTCTCAATATCACAAGTGGATTCTGAAAACTTACCAAGAAATGCTTTTTTATATTTCTAATTGGGCTATTTATAGTTCCCAAAGCCATAACACTTTCTACTTGTATATTCAAAGGAAAAATGAGTCAATCTTGTAAAATTAAAACACCACTTGTCAAAGAGAAGATAGGATTGTAAACCAGGCAGCTTAATGCAATTCAATGATACAACATGAAGCCTAATCAATCTTTCATTATATATTCTGATAGAGCCAATGAAATCACATCCTAAGCAACCACACTAGATCGTATTAATTTTGATCCCAGTCTCTATAATTTATTCTATTGAGGCTCACATCGTTTTTGTAAACCAAAACTCCTTAGATCTGCTCAAGACATGATTCAATCACATAACCTAATTTATACTCAATCACGTTAGCGGTTTCTTATTTTATGCATTCTAGTATACCATACATGTCTTGACATCTTTACTATCACTATATATCATCAAATATGAGTGTTATTATGATATTTTTCATTGCAGCAACGTCGAAATGAGTGCCCCCCAGTGATGAGTCACCTTAAGTGGCAGACTGATGAACCATCCCCTAAGCCACCTCAGTTGAACCTAACCTATTGGAGTCGAGAAGGTGCATAACCTTTGAGGTTTATTTACTATAATACAAAGTATTGAAATACAAACACTCTGCAAAGGTGTAAAGTTGACTTTCCCTCCTCAACGCTGGTGATTGCAATAAGGTTGAAAGTGATATTGTGGTACTGGGAGACCTTGCCTGACATCCAAAAGGTCCTTAACAACTCCAAACCATGAAACCAATTCTAACTATAAATACTTGATGAACATACATCACAACGTATGATTTTCGTTATATACTAAGCTAAAACTATGTTGATTTGTTTTAGACATTTTTCACACCCAAATAACCGTAATTGACTTGAGCATTGGAGTGTATACAGCTACTGCAACACCCACTTCCAACGGTCAAGCATTCTAACATTTGCTGGCAGCTAGGTTCAACCAGTTTGATGTCAACAATGAGGAAGTTGAACCGCATGCATTACTAAAAAGTGAGAACAGAGAAAACGCCCAAATACAACTACAAATGATTAAGAAGCCATGTACCCAAGTAACTTTACCATCAATTATTCAGATCACTTAAAATAACGAAAAATGCAACAAGATCCAAATAAATTTATTTGTATAAGCACAAGAAAAAACAAATCAGTAGCCTAATTTTAGCTCTCTAGCTCGTACCACATATACAACAGCAAATGATTTCTCAGATAAACAAAAAATGGTATTGAATATAACTATTATGATTTAATTCAATTTAAAATACGTTGGATAAAATTATATACAGCACATATAATTAAACTCTATTAATGCATTGAACATGAAGTACACCTTGGCATAGTAATCCTTCCATACTCTGCGGGCGATCTGACGAACCCCAAATCAAATGCCTAAAACTTAATTTTCGAAATACTCAGTTCTTCGGACGTCGGATATTGTGTCGGCTGATGTTCAACTAGTCTCTGCGACAACCCAAAAGGAACTTTTATTTTGGGATATTTGGATGGATGGGAATTGAATCATGATTCCGATAATAATTTCTAATTCTTAGTGCTCGTTTTAAATGTGATGTTAGGTCATTAATACTTAATTAAGACTTAAAACTTTGCTAAATTATACGTTTTGTCCACCATCTTTATACCCATTACCCTTTTGCTCCCAACCTTTTTTTGACTAACATCAAATTTTCATTAATTAACGCCATTGTCTCTACTATCGATTTCCACTAAAAAAAACCTGTTAATCATTAAAGATGAAATTGCCCTTAAAAGTTCAAAAAATCATATTGCAACAGGTGGAAATGCCTTTCGAAAAAGTGCAATTAAGTCCAAAACCTTTTATTTTTGGGGAAATATAGAAATTTAGTTGAGTGAATATATTCTTATCGTATCTTGGATGCTCGGTTATGTATGGGAAGATTGGAAGTGTTGACCCTATCCATTCGATTACTTGTATTATCATCTCGATTCTCTTAAAGTTCTCACAGACATCGAAATACGTTTTGCATGTGGGCATGTTGGGTGTTTCACAAATTTTTTGTGTAGGTCAATATCAACCATGTCATGTTTAGTACCAAGTTGGGGATATATTAACCCCCATATAATTTAGCCTTTACACCTTCGGGCTATCCTAGCTTGTATTGTGTAATTTATCGTACTTTCTTATCAGATATCAGGTGTTTTTTTGTATTGTTTTATTAAAAACAACTCCAATTCACAACCTTCCACAAAGGGAAAAAGATTAGTGCGCTGCATCTTCTTTAGACTCATTGGTCTAATCTAAAGATAGCTGTCAAGTTTGATCCTTATTCGATATATCGTGCTTGATAATTTCTTGACTTGCAACATCAAATCAAAATGTATATACAAAAGAGGAGCGTATATGGTATTATGTTACATAATACGATATGTAATCATTAGCGCTTCCCTACTGCAAGTTTTTTCTAGGATTTGAGAAGAATTGGCAAAAAAAAAAACCATGTACACACTTTTTTCTCATAAATGCAAATTATATGGTGTTATGTTCCATATAATCACGCGTCTTGGCAGTCTTGGGACGCTTAACCACCACTAATGGGCACTTCACGTGCTTAGCACAGTACTCACTTACGCTTCCCAGTAAAGCCCTGAAAGTGTAAGAGAGTGTAATTGCACTCAGAATCAGAATCAAGAAAATTTAAAAACACAGTATTAGAAGCGAAGTTAAGGTACCTTTTGAAGAAACCATAGTCGTGGCTTCCCATGACTAAGATGTCGGCTCCAAGTTTCTCGACAGCCATGCATATCGCATCTTTGGCATCTCCACTTCCAACTTTTTTCTCCACTGCGACCTGCAATTTTCCATGTGTCATTTCACCTTTGCATAACACACAATCTAGTCCTAGCGCAAGTGCATACACAGAGGAAAGAGAACACATACAGTAGTGTTGAAGTTTTTGTAAACTGCCTCTGCCCTTCTCATCACTGAATTAGTCAAGTCACTGTTGTGTTTTTCCATGGTTGCAATGACATCACCAGCAAATAGATACCCTGCAAATCATGGGAATCTTCTTCAGTAGTTCGAAATGAAACACAAGTTAACAGACTTAAGTTCCAAAATTTAGTCTTCAACATGTTTCCTTGCGCACACATGCTAGATTCATTTTTAATCAAAGGTCTAGCATGTGCCTAAGATTTGTGCCTACCTAGTACCATGTTGCACCACCTCATCTAATGACTTAGCTTTTAGACGACATTGAGAGAGAGAGAGAAAGATCTTACCAGTGGCATCCAGAGGAGGTTTGATGTAGAGGAGAATTAGGGTACTCGTTGGTTTATGGTTTTGGGACAAGAGGTTGCCGAGACACCAAGATAAAGCATACATGCTCTCTTCACTTTCATCTACTGCCACTACTATTTTCCTCCCCTCCATGTTATTTTCTTCCATTATAGACATCCTTAAATTGATTTTAGAGAAGTTTCTTGATTTGAACAACAGCCTGCCTGGTTGTTTGCTTTTATAGCCAAATAATGAAACTGTATCTGGTTTTAATCTTGCAATTAGGCCATGCTAATGAGATATTTTAGTGGTTTGAAATTCCAGTAATGCCATTTCAACATTCTGGGAATTTGCTAATATTTATGTTACCATAGTTACACGAAACTGACTATAATTGATAGGAAATTCTAAGTCTGTGTGGGGTCAAAAGACCCCACTGGTTTAACAAGAAAGCCTCTATTGTTGGTATTTTGTCAATGACTGTCTATTTGAAGTCGATTTCAATACTTACTCCATAGCCAACTTGAAGCCAATGAGAGCTATTTTTCTGTCATCTTTTTGAAAAAGTTCCAAAACGCAATCCAAAATGAAAGGTTTTGGTATCTTCAAGGTGTCATAGACACATTTTACTGAATTATCATTGAGACATCATCCATAACGTAACGATGCGTGGTATGAATGGACTAATATTGCCGAACATGAATTTTATTTGTATTGATTTTCAAGTAGAATATGATTTAACTTTTCCACTTGTAACAGAATTAGTATATTCACCGTTCCATCTTATAGCGTGAGTGGGATTTTTTTTTTTTTTTTTTTAATTTCACTCTGTATTTATATTTCTAATGTTATAATTGTAATATTTTTTCCCCAATGAACAAAACTTTATCTTTTATAATCAATTATTTTCTTCCAATTTTGGTTTTTTTTAAAACAAAATTCTCGTAATAAATTAATAACAGTGTCATAACATTAAACACTATCTATAATTGATCTTGATCACCGTTGAAGATAAATTAAAGTAAAATTTCCTAGTCTTATAGGGATAGGGTAGGGCAACAAAGATGCATGCACTTGTCATATCTTTCAAGTCGATGTAAATTAGCTTCTTGGAGCTTAGCTTTGGGCGATATTATTGCCACAAAATATCTTCTTTAGGAGTGTACAAATAAAAAATATCTTTCACCAAAAATATCTGTTTTCAGTGCAAGAAAACATTTTATTTATTATTATTTTTATTTTATTTTTGGACTTGCACCAAATATATTATTAAAGGCTACGTTGATATCTCATTTTTTGTATGTGAAACGGTCCAACTGGCCATTGAACTTAAAGGCCGATATCAATTTGGTTTGAAACTTTAATTTATTTCAAATTATCAGAATTAAAATTTGTTTCACGTGATCACTTAACTTTTGCATATGTCATTTTTAGTCTCCTTGCAACTCAGAGATTGTCTATTTGGATTAACATCAATTTCATCTTATGAATGACTAATGTGAAACAAAACTTGAAGTTTAATGATCAACATGAAACAAAATTTAAAGTTAGGTGACTAGTTTAGAACAAATTAAAATTCGAGTTACTCAATTGAAACATAAGATTTTTAGCAAGTTATTTGAAGTGAGATGAAGTAAGAATAATTTTTAAAAAATTTGAGTTCCAACTTCTAAGACTCGGTTTGGCAATTTTATAAATGATTTATAAAGAGAAATAATAAAAACAATAGTGGTGAGTTTGACAAATACATGGATAATAATGAAATGAAATTTTTTATTTTGAATGAATTTGAAATTGAGTGCCAGACGAGGCTCAGTGAATCATCTACGGCAGTGAATGGCAATATGTCATGGAAATAGTATAAGGGAGAATTTCATAACTAAGAGATTAAGTTTCACCCATTTCAAATTTAAGAGATAATGTTTATCCCCCGTTTGATTTACATTATTATCTCATTAAAATAAAAATATGACCGTTATTCATCACATCAACATTTAAATTCAAATTTTCTATCTCTTATGTGGGCCCCAATAATTGCTATATTTTTCATTCTCATTCTACAATAATTTGGCTCAAACAGGGCCTTAAAATTTCAAATTTCAGATTTTTTAAGGTTTAAAATTTAAAATCTCAGATTTTTAAAATTTTATTTATAATTAATTAATTAAACTTATATTTTATTAATTAAATATAATAATGTCACAATTCGACATAATTTGGTCACAAATTCTATATAATTGGTCACATATTATTAATTTGTCACAAATCACAAATTTTACATGTCACAAATTATTTTACGATCACAATTCAAAAATTTATATGTCACAATTTGTTTATCGATCACCAATAAAAAATTGAAACTTCACAAATTATTTTACGGTCACAATTCAAAAAATTTATATGTAACAATTTGTTCATCGATCACAAATCAGAAATTTTATAAGTCACAAATTATTTTAAGGTGGCAATTCAAAAAATTTATATGTCAGAATTTGTTTATCGATCACAAATCAGAAATTTTATAAGTCACAAATTATTTTACAGCACAAATCAGAAATTTTATATGTCACAAATTATTTTACGGTCACAATTCATAAATTTTATAAGTCACAATTTGTTCATCGGTTACAAATAAAAAAATTTATACGTCACAACTTATTCATCGATCACAACTTAATAGACTGTCACAAACTGTCAAATTATCGGTCACAAATTAACAATTTTTAGGTCACACATTATTTTTTTTTGTCACAATTTATCTTTTTCATTGGCCGCATATTGTTTATTGGTCACAGATTAACTAATTTAATGGTCACAAACGATCAAATAATTTGTGACCACCACAAACCACCAACTTGAAACCACCACCTCACCACTCCCTCCAGCAGCACAGCTGCCACCGTCTCTGCCAGAACCACCATCACCACCACCTCCTGACAGCAACAGCACCTCAAACAAATCAACGCATCGCAGAAAATACCATCTCAGCAACGCCACCTCCTACAAATCAACACACCGTCTCATCTCACAAACCTGTTTCACTTCTCGCAGATCTCACAGACCACCACAGATTTGCTTCACCTCTCGCAGATCTCATAGACCACCACCACCACACGAACTTTCTCGACGCTGCCAAATCACACATCCAATCCCACCACCCCGTTCAAAACGTACCACCACCTTACACCCGCACCACCCACAACACACCACCACAGTACACTATCACCCTTGCAACACCAACACCTCAAAAACCGCAGCAAAACATGAGAAGGAGAGGCGGGAGAAGAGATGGAGAGTAGCGGCAACGCTGTCGTACGAAGGATGGTGCCGGCTTGGTAGTTCGGTTGTGCCGATCTGTGCAGTTGCCGTCTGAGTAATCGTCGAAGCCGGAGCAGTCTTCTACTTTTTGACGAGCCGTCGGAGGGAGAGGATAGACTAGAAAGTCGAGATTGAGGAGATATCTGAAATTGTATAACTTGATATCTGAAATTTGAAATTGAATGTTCAAAACACTGGTTTTGTGTAATCTCCTCATAGCACAATATCCCCAAAGATTAGTTTTGAAATTAAAACTGTTTTTGGGCTTGGACTTGGGCTTGAAAATTTACCCAAATCATAGATGTGAATAGTATGTTTGGGTCAAACCCTTGTAACTGGACTCCGATACCTAAATGGACTCTACCTACTGAGGAACTCTATATGCTCCAACGTCAATATTAATGCCATAATATTGTTGAAAATATATTAGACAGCGCTCAAATTCACACTTCGATCAGCAGTTGAATATTAGGGGTGGACTGGTTCATTCTTATTCTACATAAGTCTCTTTAGAATCAAAATCGTATAATTTGTTTTCAAAAATTTCTAAAGAACAAATCAGTGCTTTTGTGAGGGAAAAATTGAGTCTGGTCGATTCAATTTAATAAATTTGTTTGATATACGTTGATGCTACCAAAATTTATACCTGGGAGGATAGGATGGGGCAAGAGATCGAGCAAGAGATCCGAACTTGAAATGATCACAAATAATGATGCTTGGCACCTAAAATAAAGGATAAGGGGATTTGAACCGTAGCTCCTCTCATGCTCATATAGAGAGAGAGAAAATATATAAAAGTTTTATATAGAAAGCAAAACAATAACTATATGTCGGGGAATATGGGACTAATGTGCCTAGTGTTTTAGGTAGTAGATACCTAGTAGAACTAGGATCCTAGAGGCTATAGGCCAACTCAAGTATCTAGAAAGCATTGTCCTTGGAGGACGTGAAGGCTAAGTTAGTATTCGATTGGAGAAAGATTGATCTTCTTTAAATAAGGTTAATGTCAAGTACAAGTCTATCAGGAACAAGAGATCGCTCATGCCAATCACTCCTTGATTACTTAGATGGTCGAGCATCGAAATTGGAGAAGGCATGGTGTGCTCCTAGGGAGAAAAAGGTCGGTCAAAGAAGTTGTTACGCTGCGCCATCTTTTCTTCATCACCAATTCGAAAGTCCACCACTATATGAATAATCATACATGGATTGTCAAAGACTATTGTTATGCCTTGATTTACAGGGCTCCAAATACCGTACGCAGCGAACAAAGATGAGGTCCCATGCCAAACCATTATGCCTGCCAACTCCACTAAACTACACTAACCCTCATGGGAAGAGCCGACCTATGAGTGGAGGCAAGGCAACAGAAGGAGCTCAACACGAGATCTCCTAAACAATCTTTTTGATATACTGTTGATGTGACGATTTACTGTCATCGCTGCAACTGCCGGGCTATTCAATCAAGTCCAAAGCCGCAAGCTAAGCATTGAGGATGCTAAAGTAGTACCAACATTGAAGGCTTATGATTGATTGATGTCTAAGATTAGAGGCATCAGCCACACAGATGAGACCATGTGCATTTCCATCCAACGACCCTCATTCCATCTTATATTAGAAAAGCTCCCACTTTGTGCCCTTTGAAGATAATGTAAGTTTAAATTTCCAAATTATAACTTTGTCATATCCTTGTTTTATTTGTAACACCCCAAAGTCGATCCCCTTTTTACATTGGAAGCTCAAGTCTAAAGTTCTCCCATACTCATATATTTACTTCTCCAACTGACTGGCTGTTGGAGCGCGTGCAACCAACTCCACTCTCACCTGAGGAAGTAAAGTGTGGCTAGCAGTTTGTCCAAATGTGCAGAAACTAGGCTTGCGTAGACGTGAAAGGCATTGAGATTTGTTGGCCACATTGGAGGTACATTTTTTGGGGTCAACAGAAGTCATCATTAACCCAGGAACGGACAATAGTGAAAAGAAGGGAACTCGTTCCTTGTGATGTGAAGCTCAAGGTAAAGGATGCTCTCTTCTTACAAGGTTGGAGAATTGCTTGAAAGCGTATGAGATCCTCAAACTTAACATCCTCGAGTCTATCTTTAAGAGGAATCTTATGGTAGGATCACAAGTAAAAGTTTGTTTTTAGCTATTCCAATTTAAGAAGTTAAGTTACGAGAAATGAATTTTAATCATCTTCCACTAAATCATATGAAATAACAATTCAAGTTACTACTATGTGATAAAAAAAACTTCATAATTAGGTGGACAAGTAAGCAACACAAGAAGCAAGCGCGTAGCCATGTATGAATTACCCGATTAAAATGCACAAGACTCAGCTCATCATCAATGTTACTGAGGCCCTGTTTGGTACACATTATTTTTTTCATTCTCATTCTTCTACTCAATTTTAACCACACATTCTTCAATAAAATAGTATTTTCCATCACATCAATAACTTTTCCTTCATTTTCAACCACAAAAAAGGTGTGATTTGACACAAAGAATGCATTTTTTTCTAGAATAATGGTTACCAAACGGTGCCTTAATATGGCTAACACACATTCTTTAATAAAATAATATTTTCCATCACATCAATAACTTTTCCTTCATTTTTAATCACACATTCTCTATCAATCTACTATTCAATAATACATTCTTTCAAAAGAATGTGTCCCAAACACACTCTGAATAATCATCAATACGTAGTCGAATTAGCTGTCCAACTTTTTGGTAGCTAGCCGAACAAATTATGAATTTTGAGTCCCAAATAATGAAGCAAAAGTAAATGAGATTCGTCTTCCTCGATATTGATGTTGACTTACTACCAAATGCAAACGTTAACAAACTTGACAGCTCTTTTTAGGTAACAGGTCAAATTATGATTAAAGATGTTTCATGTATGAACCTGTTCCTTCACTTGCTCTAATTTGAATTTGAGCACAAATATAGCCCATATTTACATATTAGTAAATTCAATTTATATTTTACCAAATCATTTGCAATGTTACAACAATCAAACTGAAATAGCTGGTTTGACTAATAAAATAAAACACCAGCTCGAAATCGATTGAACATTTAAACACCGTTAAAAGAATTGTCAAACTGACCAGTTCACTTTCAAAACTAATAGATTCATCTTCAATATTTTGACGTAGATCATTTCAATCGGAGTTCAAATTAGAAGTATGTGTTGAAAGTTATGTATTAATAATTTAAATTATTAATAAATAAAAATAAGTGATCGGCGAGTGATGTAATCCAATTTTTGTGCTGACCAACCTGCTGCAAAAATTCTCAACCTTTCGCAAGTTGCCATTTGTCAGATTTAGATGACAAGTGCAACCAAAATAAAATAATAATAAAAAAAAAGTAATATTATTTATAGTGAAAATTATCTGTAGTCGTCCTATGTGGTATATACACGATAATTTGTTATTTAATACATTAATGTGATAATTTTTTTTGTTTCATGTATCAAATAACAAATTATCATGTATATATCACGACGACTACCGATAATTTGACTATAAATAGTTTTATTCAAAAAAAAAAAAAGGTGTAACCAGAATCGGAACATATATGTATACAGAGAGAGAGAGAGAGAGAGAGAGAGAAAGAGAGAGTTCTTATCCCAAAAACCCACGCATTTTGGGCCGTGAGAAAGCCCTTTATCGTGTGAATGTTTTAGCGGGCCCCACTTTTTAAAATGCTTAGAGCCGTTGGTGAGCAATCATTGACCTCATATTCAAACTCAAAAAAGGCATGAATTTTTTGTAATTCAAAAATAAAAGACAAGAAAATAATAATTTTGTTGGTCACGGAAACACTGCCAAATTAATATAATTACATATTTTATTCTCGTCAATTACACTGTAAAAGACAGCTAAATGACTAATTTGGGCTTGTTTAACTTCAATAGGTTAACTCTTCTTCATTAATCAATCGAAATTATGCATAAATTCAAGCAATTTTTTTAAAAAAAAAAAATAAAAAAATGTAAGGAGCAATTCAAATAAACACATCACACTTTCTTTTACTTTAAATAGTTGGCATTTCGATATTTTCATGTGTACAAAAATATGTATCGAAGTAGTGTTAAATTAAGTCACCAAACTCAACCGCTTTATTTTGAGTCCATATAAAAGGCTCTACTTATAATAGAAGGTGACAATAGGAATTTGGACTGCTCTTTTCTTCCTTTACAAATTCAAAAAACACCCACAAAACAGAACAAGAAAAGAAAGAAAGAGAAGAGTCTGAGTATTAGGGGAAATACAGTTTGAAATTCAAAGGGAATGGATGAAATTGTATTATTCATAGATGAATTAAAATCATCAGCAACTGTACCTATATGTAGAATATGCCATGAAGAAGAATTTGAAAGCTGTAAATCCATGGAAGCTCCCTGTGCTTGTTCTGGAACTGTCAAGGTATGTTTTTAAGAACTTTTTGCTTTGAATTATGTACTTGATTAACTTTGATTTCGGGCTTTCAGTTTGCACACAGAGATTGCATACAGAGATGGTGCAATGAAAAGGGTAACACAATTTGTGAAATTTGTTTACAGGTATGGATTTTGTTTCTCATTCTTCTGGTTTCAAAGTTTCTTTCTTATATTTTCAGGGTTGTGTATTCTAGTATTCTTAATTCCTCTGTAATCTTCAAAGTACAAACAGATTCCCTCTCTTGCTCTCTGTTTTGGGGTTTTTTTTTTTTTTTGGAAGCATATACTTGTTTTATTTGTTATAGATGTCTCTGTTTTGAAAGCCGGAATTAGATTCTGTCATTGTTTCATTCTTATCTACTTCTCAAGTATTTCAGTAATTTAAAGCTACGAAACTATTTCATTTTTTTGGTGTCTTTTCAAAGTTAGGATTATTTTTAATATTTATTTAAATAGAAAAGTCCCACTTATTATGGAAAGTAATTTATACCTTTTCCTTTTTGCAGAAATTTGAACCAGAATATACAGCTCCACCCAAGAAACCACAGTTAATCGATTCAACAGTGACCATAAGGTATATATTAGTTTTCATTTCTATAATTTATGGCTTGTTTGGTAAAGAAACGATATTTTTCTTAAAACAAAGGTTAAAATCTTATTAATATAATGTTCAGGATGGCATATTTCACTGTTCACGGGAACATTCCTTCCTTTTAATTATTGCCAGAATTTAAGTTTGTACTTTTCTAAATAAGTATTTAGAAATATTTGTTCTTTCCTTAAAATAATATAAGAATATTTTCATGGTAATTTTAATAGGGGAAGCTTGGAAGTTCCAAGAAGAGAGCCAGAACAAGAAAATGCAGTACAAATTCTTGAGTCTGAATGTGCCTCAGCTGCTGATACAACTGCTTCTTGGTGCAGATCAGTGGCTGTAATTGTAAGCTGTTCCTGCAACTTTATTGATTTCAAGTATTGCATTTGTTAGGAATAAGATTTATATAAATTGAAGCTTTTAGACGAGTGAGCACAAGTAATTGTGCAAGTTAAGGCACCATTCAAATAAATAAGCTCTAAAGCCCCCATTTGCATTAGCATATTCTCATACAATACAAGGGTCAATTTTCTCATACATTTTATATTAAAATCATTAATTTAGCACTTGACGAATTTGCAGTTTACGGTACTACTTCTGATAAGATATTTGTTGGTAGTTCTTACGGGTGGAACAGGGGATTATCCATTTTCACTTCTTACTGTAAGTTCCTAATCTTTTACTGGTAAGTAATGATAAATTACCATTAGCATCCTACCTAAGTATTCAGCTACATTCTTAGCAGTTACTTATTGTCAAGGCTGGTGGTGTACTTCTTCCCATGTACATTTTGATTCGGATGATCACAACAATTCAAAGCAGCATAAGGCATCAATATCAGGTTATTTCCCTAAAACTCACCTTATTATACATTGGCCTTGGACTTGTTTTTATTAAACAACTTAATCGTCCATTTTCTATTTTGGTTACAGAATTCTGATAATGATATGTGGATCTCTGATGAAGATGACAATGAAGATGTAGAGCAGCATGACATTGTGATACAAAACTAGTCGAGTTTGCTTGTGTCTGATTTGTACCTCGAGATATGTTCCAAGTATCATTTTACCCCCTTGGGAGAAATGAGGATTGGCAAGATTTCATAGATATATACAGTGGAAAGGAAAAAACAGAAACAAGTGAGCAACTGCAAGAAAAGGAATACATGAAAGGCAATCGAAATGCACAAAAACGATGAGATCAAAGTGACAGAACTAATAAGAAGAAAGATGATCATCCTCCAACTTACTGCTTTCGACCTAAATTTCTTAGGTCACATATCATGTACACATTAGCCAGCTTATGCAGAAAATTGGATTACGATTTGGGTTATCAAAGCGTTTTTCTTTGGTTTCTAATTTTAACTATGTACTGACACACTGCAGTTTGTCCAATCACCCAAAAAACATGCCCCAAGTGAGCATATGTCCCTCAATGCAAAGCAAACATTATCAAATAATACTAGGAATACTTCAACAACATTGTGCTGCATATTTGACTTGCGAGTTTCAATCACTCATCGTAAGACAAAGTTGACACTGCATCTATCTGGTTTTCAAGCATCTATTTTTTAGTTCTCCTGATTTGAGCAATGGGGGAAGAAGGGGGCACAGGGTTAGATAGAAAAGGGAGATAGCGAGACAGGCAGAGATAAATCATCTTCACCTCTTCGAACTATTGCAATTACCTTAAAATTTTACTTACCGACTCTTAGGGCATGCATCAAGTGTAAATCTTTAAAGGAAGGTGACTTCCTCTAAACCAGTGGAAAGATCTTCACGTTGCATTCTTTCTTTGGCTTCTTTGGAAATTTTGGCTTTCTCGGGTGGGATGTGTTTCATGATCCACCCCACGTTGGCTCTGGGCAGAAAATTATCTTGCTTTTCAAAAATTTGAAATAATGGGATCCGAAATCTCCGAAGTAATCTGATTGAATCCACCATATTTCCAATGCACAATCCGGTTTTTGGGATGAAATGACTTGAAATCTCGATAAGTTCTAATCTTGATTATAATATTGTTAGTACAGTTTAAGATGAATTCACTCCATTGGCGCGCGTTTGCTTGTTCTCTAATGGACGGGGATCCAACTAAGCAATTAGAAACCCTTTAGCTTAAAAGGAAGTTGATGAACTGCTTCCTTTTGAAGGTTATAAAACATGTTTCCGAATATGTTTAATGTTATCTTATATTGATTACTATAAGAGAACTTGATGCAACGTGAAGCAAAGATCGAATCTCGTTGATTTTTATGGAATATCAAGAATTGACCAATTTGATTCAAGTTTATGCAGACAATAGATTAAAATCAGAAATCGTTGATTTACAATTAAATATCTAGGCTTGATATCTTGATCAGCAAACTCGTTCATTCAATACGTGAATGTCGAGATGGATTAAACAACTGAAAGAAATTATAATAATATTTTACGGGATGTCTACATTCAAGTGTTCCCAAATGAGATTCCAATGAATTTTTCCTTTTCTTCCCCATTTGAACTCATTTTCTCCTTTATTTCTTCCTCTGAGAACTATCATTTAATTAGTTTCTTTAATATGAATTTTTTATTCTTTGGCGTTTTGTCTATAATATTTCACTAAATTATTCAAAAATTAAGAATTTTGACAGAGATGACTAGAAATCTAGGATACTTCAATAGCCATGGATGACTAGAAATCGACCACTCATCAGACATCAGTACGTGTATAAATAAGTTCAATTGAATGACACATTTAACATACAAGATCTCTAGGATAATAGAGAGATAAGAAAGGGCAAAATCCAAATTAATGTTGAAGCTTTTGATCGATCCCAAAAGCAAAGGGGTTTTATTTGTTGAAACTGGAAATGACACTGTTGATATCACGTTCTCTCTTGGTCCATAGCTTTTGTTATTAAGCTTGTTGGCCAACGAGAAATGGTGGGGGCACCTTGGGCAACGTTGAAAATTTGAACACATAGAGCTGGAAAAAATAAGGACATCATTTTAAATTCAAAAGCACCAAGAAATATTGATTTGTGTGTAGATATATTCTCAGTGAAGAAACTAAAGGTTAGTTTTCAAACGAGGAAATAGAGGAAAAATTGGTACAAATGGGGAAGAAATTGAAAAATGATAAGAATACACTTAATTAGGGGGTGGACAAAATGTCCAAACCAAACCAAATCAAACCACAGCGGTTTGATTCGGTTCTACAAAAAAAATAATGGAGATCCTAATTTTGGCCCTTGTTTGAGAAACATTAAGGGGTTGTTCTCTTCGTGTTTCAGTTTTGAGTTTCGAGTTTTGAATTCATTCTGTTTTAAAATTATTGAAAATGCGTTCTTTTTGACATTCTGAAAAACTGTTTCTGAAAATATAAAAATGAAAAACGCGTTTACTTTAATATTTTGAGAATGTTTTTTTTATAATATTTTATTCAAGAAATCTGATTATTCAATAAATTATAATAGTTTAATGTTAATATAATATTAAATAACATATACATTTTGAAGTTGGTGAATCTTAAAATATTTTTTTCCAGATATAAAAAACACAACCTTAATTTTTTTTATAATATTTTATTCAAAAAATCTGATTATTCAATAAATTATAATAGTTTATTGTTAATATAGTATTAAATAACATATACATTTTGAAGGCGGTGAAATTTAAAATATTTTTTTTCTAGATATAAAAAACACAACCTTATATTTTTTTAATAATATTTTATTCAAAAAAATCTGTTTATTCAATAAATTATAATAGTTTAATATTAATATAATATTAAATAACACATACATTTTGAAGTTTCGATGAATTTTAAAATATTTTTTTTCCAAATATAAAAAATGCATCCCAAATTAAATTTGGCAAAACAGTTCAATTGATACGATTAAAAGAGCTTCCTATTTGATACCTTGAGCAGCATAAGCATCTATTCAATTTGATAGACTTGTTCAATTAACTGAACGTAATTGTTAATGTTCAAGTTGCCAAATGCATTTTTTTGAGCTAAAAATGTGTATTTATTTGTCTTCTCACTGATATCGAAGAACTACTCTTTTAACAAGGTAAAATCTAGTCGATCAAGTGTATTTTGGGCATTGTTAAAAAGATTAGGAATTTCAAAACAAAAAATTAAGAGCTTGTTTGGGAGGGATTAAAATCAGATTAAAATTGAAAATATAGCCGTTAAAGTTGACTTCTATTAGACGTGTAGGACCCAATAACGGCATATTTTTAATTTTAATCCTTCCCAAACAAGCTCTAAAATTGGAGGCCATCTCTTTCCCCCAACGCAGTGACTCTTCTCCCAAATCCACACCCACCACCCACAAATTGGAAGCCCAACTCCAAACGTAGCCCTCTCCTCCGGCAACACTTCCACACCCACCATCCACACAATCAATTCCACTCAAATCAAGCGCCACACCATCATCATCTCCGGCTACACGTCAATAGAAGGTACCGTCCCTCTTCTGGCAGCACTTTCCGCTACATAGCCACTTGACGATTTTGAAGGCTGCACTGTACTTAAACTTTCCTCTGCTCCACTCCAACTGCCTTTCATGGCGTAGCTAACAGTAAGATTAATTCAACGAATTTATAGTTCATTAGATTTAGGACAAACCGTATTTTCCCCATTTACTCTTTCTCCACTTATTTGTGTTCAACTCCCTTTCACCTTATAATTTGAATTGGTGCTAAGGTATTGTAGTCCCTATTCTCTTTTCTGATTCTCTTCTTTATCTCTACCATTTTTTAATTTCAATTCGTCATCTCTGGATATGTCTCCAATTTGCTGTGTGTTGTTACTCTGCTCTTCCATCTCTATCTAACTTAATTTTTTCTTGTACGTGTAATCCCCTGCATCTTAAAGGAACATATCAATGAATGAAATGCAATTCACATTTCGTTGTAATTTCTCCGCCAATGAAGTTGAGTTATTGAAGTCCTATTTAGTACGTTATATTGTATGTTGATTTTGTTTGGAATCGGTTGGAATAAAAGTGACCTACATCGAAATGTTGACAATTTCTGTTGGAGAACTACATGTTATTTCAAGAATTTCATGCTAGTGGATGGAGAAGAAAGTGTCATTACATTGAATCTTCTGAAGGTGTCCTGTGTTATGGGATTTCGAATGTTGTTTACGTGTCGTCGTTTTTCATCTTCGATCATCATCTTTGTTGTTTTTCATCTTCCATCTATGCCTTGTGTTCGGAAAAACGATACGAATTGCATTTTGCATAGCCCTGTCTTGATCAGTAATTATTCCAAGAGGTGATTTACAGTGCATACACTGAAGCCATGTTCTCAACAAGCACATGAAAGTATCCATGTCTTCGTTCGATACTAAACCATAACCAAGCAGTGTTGATTGTCCGTGATGATTGACGCTAACAAACGGGGTAAAATGCATGTCATACTTGTTTGTGAGGTAAGTGGTATCAAATGTAACATCGCCGAACTCCTTATACACTTGCCTACAATGATTATCTACCCAAAATACATTTCTCAGCAGCGAATTCTTGTCTAAATCCATTCTGAAGTAAAATCCCGAGTAATGTGCTTGCATTTTTAAAAATATGATTGCATTGCTGCGGCATCTCTTTCTCCAAGTCTTAATCGTCTCACTTTTTCAATGTAATTCCGACAATCATTTTCCACTCAACTCATGTTCTTATATCCACCTGCTTCTACGACTACATAATTGTAACTTTTATGCAATGAGATTCCTGCCAAATCATTTAGTTGTAGCTTGCATTTCACATGTGAACTTAACTCTTTGTTGCATCGAAATAACCTCGACTTCGACGGGCTATTTTCATGATTGTGGTCGAGGTGGACCGTGTTAATTCTCTAGACTCCATATATATCTACAGATGTAGAGATTCTAACTTTACAGCGTATCTGAATAGTTGGTTGTGGCTGCAAAGATTCGCTAGTATTACCAACTCTTTGACCTTCACGGTTACATATCAGTGTCACATATCGCAATTCTCCATCGTCTCCCCCGAGTTTCTTTT